CCAAGCGCAGGGCTCCCACCACTAGGCCACCATTCCCCTCACTTTCTTTGGCTTCTCTTTAGTAAAAATAATCAATAGATACCCAAAATAGACAAAAGATGAATGGATTGATGGATGGACTGAATGAATAGGTGAAAAGCATATATCCACAAAAAAAAAAAAGGAAATGTGAAATATCTCCTCATCTCAATCAGCCTCTTCATTTAGTTTTACAGTGACACAGAAACAGTCAAAACACTTTTCTGAATAAACAAAATCCTTATGTGTAACACCCATAAAAGAAGGAATGAATAATGACACATATAGTCTCAAATGACATCTGAGATCGTCTCAAATGATAGAAAATGTTATTGATGTGACAAAAATAAAAAACTTTATTACTCTATATGTGCATTAAGGATGAATCTGCAGACACCCAGCTGCAAAACTATGCCCTGACAACAGTTTTTTTTTGCTCTGTAACTGACTCAACTGCCATCATATGACATTTGATGATTGTAATTTTAACTTGACAAACAGATTATGCGTAGCATTAAAATGTTTTTCAAAGACAAACATTCATCTGTGGGTAAAATGTTAAAGAACTTATAGACTTGTAGCAGCCAGCGTCTGTAGAATAGAAAAAGCGTGTAAAATAGAGCAGTTAAGCCTTCCGAATTAAGTACATTGATGTAAAGAAAATTTTTTTAATGTTACTATGTACAAAAAAGAAGGATCAAGCCCTGAATAGGAAAGATGTGACAGCAGCATCTTACAGGTCTGGGCTAATATGCAGAGTGTTAGGAAATGTTTCTAAATCAGTTGAAGGGACTTCCAACAGAAGCAAACTTTATCATTGTATTATTGATAAACCCAAAATCTGTTGTTAGGAATACATTAGTAATGCTTCAGCAAGAAGAATCATCAACTGAAGGTGTCTAGAAAGGAAAAGAAAATAATATCTGTGATTGTGTACCAGCTCTTCACGCTTCAGCTTCTTCAAGAGGGATTTTTGTCCCATTTTTTCCTTCTCTGACTCCAAAAAAATCAAAAGGAAAATACGCCATGAAGCTTTTTTCTTTGTTGTCATGCGCATTATTTGTATTTTAGAGATTTTCTGTTCCTTGACAGTGTAATGTAAACTGAATGTTTGCTGTGGAAATTATTGGTTTTAGAAGAGTTAGTTTTGTCAAGCATCTTTCTCATTTCTACATCTGAGCGTGAAAAATAGAAAACAAGTGCCCCTGCACTGCAGTGTTTTCCAAGTCCATGATTTGGAACTACATTAATAAAGATACCAAAATATGTGTGAATGTGTTGCTTCTAGGCAGAGGATGAAGCCTAATATTACGGGATGGCCTCTATTTTTCTGTTTCCTTGCAAGACTGCTTTGCATGAGTTTTGCAAAGCCTCGGCAGGGCAGTGGCTAATGAGCCGGATATGAAGATGTAGCAAGGACTGCAGCTGCAGTTTCTCAGAAAAATACACACCAGAAGTAGACAAACTGCCTTACAAATTATGTTGCACCTTTTCTCACAGACTTGTCTCATTTTAAAAGTGATATTTTTTCCAATCTGTTGTTAAAATACTTGCGAGATTTAGGATAAGCTTGAATAAAAAGGATTAGATTTTCAACACCAGTGATAATAGACTGCAGTCTACAGTAATAATACGTAGACTGCAGTGTAAGACTTGAGACCAGTTATGGTCCTGAGACTGGTCTTGAAGGTCTCGATCTAGTAGTCTTGGACTAGAAGTTTTTTCAAATTTCAAATCACCCTATTCAGATGAACAATTCTTAAGATCTGATTATGTTTTTTTTTAGTACTGTACAATCTTTGTTCTTCTCTTGTAAACCTATACATTGATTTCTGGTTATAAAACTGAATGTGATAGAATAAAGAGTTATCCTTTTATATTTTAATTAAACATTTTTTGCATTTAGTTAGATCACATCATCAATCATTGAGATAGACCAATAAAAACAAACGCATAATTTTCAAGTAGGGAAATAATGAGTACTCTCAAATTTCGATCCCCAAAGCACGGATGTGCCAAACATTCTGCTTTACTATATTTTACACCTGGTAAAGACAAAAACCATTTACCATGACAAAAACGTAACCACAGAACTTTCTTCTAAATTTTTACTGTATTGGTTTTTGGCAGACTGCAAAGATGCTTGTTTTTGGTTATGGTGTTCATAATACCGCTTATGAAGACAGATTTTTAAAAGCAAAAATAATAGTTATTTTTGTTTACTTTGTTTTTGTTTTGATTTATTCTGTTTATGTCCATAATTTCCTATATCTGAGATGCAAGTTTTTGCTGATCCAAGATATGTTAATAAGATATTTTAAAATTTTAGGGTTCCCTTGGGTCTCTGTTTCTTTCTTGGGTTTTCTAAGTTTCTACTTTCTGCCATATTAGTTATAGTATATAAAATTCTTAATAAATTAAAGTTTTGTTTTTTTCATCATGAATTTCTTAATCTTTGCTGGATATATATACACCTTTCTTTTTGTCTGATCTTATGAATAGTTATTTTTTCTCCCTCACTTAAATCCACTCATCCATTTCTCATCTTGCCTGATTACTCTTACCTGCTCTTCAGTATATAAGGTAAATTTTCTCCTTTCTTCTGTTTATCTGCTTCATGTCCTTTGCTCCTCTTGATCATTCTCTATTCAGCATACACTCTCTGTCCTGGTTTGGATTTTTTTGCTAAGCTTTCTGTTTTATTCTGCTCACCATGTTGCCTCCTGCTCTTTTATGTTTTAGTTCCTGCAAACAACCAGAAATCTATGACACCACCTGCCCTCCTGAGTTAAAAATGGCCTCTTGGCTCCTATTTTGATAAAAATATATCATTGCCTGGCCTGCCATTTGAATGGAAGCCCATATCTTGGTAGATTATGAAGTTGCCTCTGATTCTTAAATTGTCATGATAATAATTATTGTACAGCTTAATCCTACTAAATTTGCAACTTTGTAAGGTTTGTCCTTGTAGTGTGTGCTATGTGCAATGTCTATTCACACATACATTTTTAACAAATCTTTTTGCAGCCCAGCTTAGCTAAGGATTGATTATAGAATTCTGCAGTGCAGTACATCATGAATACAAAGGTGATACAGGATTGTTATTTAGTGAAGGAATATAGTATTCAGACAAGTAATACAACAAGTATGAGGGGAGTATAATAAAAATAATAATAAGAAGAATAAAAAGAAATCGACTTCACATTAATAAAATCAATGGATAAAACCTTTGGGCTAAAGCACTAACTATATGGTGGGTAAGTTTACTAAAAAAACAAATTGCTTTTAAATGTCATTTAGTGAAAATGTATCCAGCATTTATTTTAATAAATTAATAAAACACTATGGATTATTCATATTTACTATCAATTTTTTGCCATGCATCATGGTACACATAACATGCTTTGTTTTTAATCATCTCACTAAAGATTGCTTTTTCTTTTATTCAAGACATATATTTATGATTTGATTTTAAAATTGGAATTTGAGAAAAGGCACACTGTAAATAATCTAATTCAGATCATTTTTCTAAGTCAAAACATATCATAAGACTAATTATTTCAGAATAGATAACTTAAATTCCCTTTAAAGTGTGAATTTCCCCTGCCTCAGACATTTTGGCAATGTCTGATTTAAATGGCAACAGCTGTTTGCTTACTAACTGTAGGGAAGCAATGAGCTAAAACAGTTAACATTTTAGCTATTTCTACCACATTGGGTCACATAATTAACATTTAACACAAGACATTTAATGTTTTATTTAGGGGAAGTTGATTCCATGTAATCTTCAGGAGGAAGAAAGGGGAAAAAAAAGCAAGCATATCAACTTCTGGTGCTAATACTTTTTTCCCAGTAGTAATTTCTAATATACAAAATTAAACAACCCCTGATAATTCCAAGATAACCATCATGTATAAGCATTTAGTCAAAATTGGTAAGATATTTTCTGGACATGTTGTCTATGCCCCAAAGCCAGTGCAAACTCTACATGAGAAGAGGAAATGGAAATCTTGTATTCCCACCCAAGAAATATGCATTCATAAAGGCTCTAGGGAATTGTATTACTTTTTTATAGAATACATGCATGATAAAACACTGTAAACAGTAAAATTTTGCAGTCTGAAGTGCAGATAAGACTAAGAAGTGTGTTAAGCAAAATAACAATTATAAAATAAATCAAACTTATTATAGAATAAAATGACAGTTTTCCTATTAATCTAAATTCTTTCATCAAGTGATAATAATTTAAAGAAGAAGAAGATATCAGAGAAATAGACCATGAAAGGATGTTCATTTTATTTTTTCTTCCTGCTACCGATAAGCTGCCTGTTTGATTCCCATAGACGATTTGATGATTGGTAAGCATTGGTGTGCTTATAGTCCTTATGTCTTACAGTCCTCAAATAAACAACAATTAAAAAAATAAAATAACAAAACAGAAGTTCTAAATCAAAGCAAGAATGTCATCCCAAAGCTTTCCAATCTACTACCACTTTGCAGCTCTAAGAAGTCTGTGATTTATACAACCACAATGCATGAGCGGCATAAGAAAAGCCACTTCCCTTTCCAGACTGACAGACATCAAAGTGTTAGCTTCTGATTTGTTATTATCTCTTTACATCAAGGTATTATGTGTTGCACTTTTAAATATTTGGACCTGCTTCATGTTGTCAAAAATGTTCTATTCCATTGATCTCCTGATTCTACATGCCTGGGAGCATTACAGCATTGAAACTGTCACCAGGTTCTCTTCATGATGCAATTGCTGTTTCATATTTGACTAGGTCACTTAATTTTATTTCCTTTATAAATTCCAATAGCACAGAAAAAAGCATCTTTTCTACTTTTTGTATTGTTTGCTTTTATTTCCTTTATGTGTGAATATATCTATCCAATCAAAAGCCACAAAACACATACACAGGCTGACAATCATAGTAGGGATGTGTGCTAACTGAAGGTGGGCGGGATGAAATTAGACCCACCTGTCTTGGGCTCCACAGAGAAGTATGGCTGTCCATGAATGATGCTGTAGATCACCCGGGCACTGTTCCCATATGTCGGGTCATCTGCATCTGTGGCTGCCACTTGCACCACCATGGTTCCTGTGGGTAGACGGCCACTCATTAGCTTCCAAGACAACATTCTGGGGCCAAGTCATGCAGAGCTAAATGTGGAAATAGTCATATCAGCTCCATGTGTGACAAATCAGACTTGAAAAGGAAGGAAAGAGAGGGATGAAAATGTAACTTCTGAGGCACTGAATAATCTCATTAGTCATTGTCCCCAGACTGTCTTCTTTCATTGTGACTGGTGATTACTCTGGATTTCTCTATTGCTTCATAGAAATTGCTTGACCGAGTTTACTTTACAACTTTCCTCGACAACAATTAAAAACCAAAACCCTGTTAATACTACCAAACTGGAGCTCAATTAAAACATACCTCCAATCCTTTAGAGTCTGCTTAAGACTATTAGCCATTTGCCTTAAACATATCACATAGCTGCCCTCTTTCTTATCATTCTATAAAGTTATAATAAACAACAACAAAGTCAATTTACCAAAGTACAACTGTGTGGGGCTTTTTACAAGTCCAATATGCCCTCTAGCAATGTTAATTATATATTTTATCTTATTCTAATCGGATTAATAAAAAATCTATAAAGAGTTTCAGACACAAATGATATATAAATACTCCTGTATCTATGGTATCAAAGCACACTTACACAGCTAGTTGAGTTAGGATAGAAAAAAAAAAGTTCCTGGAGAGTATATTGTTCTGCAGAGGGAAAATTGTAGCAGTGGAGTTCAAATTATATTTGAAAGCAAGGGAAAGATTGCAGCCATAGGGCAAAACCGTCTGAAGTGTTTTTGTTTGCTTGTTTAGGTTGCTTTTTTCAACTTTCATCAGATTTTTACAGAGCACAGAAGGAAATGCTTTATGTTTCCTGTATCTACAGGGGTGTGCTGTGCTGCTGTCTGTAAACACTGTAATTTAACTTCACAATTTCCTGTTTGGTTGTGGTTTAACAACAAAACACAAAGTTGAACTAAAAATAATTACATATATTTCAAAAAAAGTGGCATTTAGATGTTTTTAGCTATATTCCAGAGGAGACTAAGCAAGCAAATCTACAAAACATAGTTTAAAAAAGGCAAGTCTAAACGGTATAACCAATTAAGTTGCGCTATAAGGGAGTATTCCATTCTAATGATCCCATATCACAATGATAGTTATTTGTTAGAAGAAGAAATCTGTTGATAAGCCTAAGTTGGGCAAACACTTAACGATATCTTCAATCATTCTCAGCTACGGGTCAAACCGTACCACCAAACACCAGGGTTTAAAAGTTCATAGCTCACCATATTGTTCCTTCACTGTACGGCCTATTGCCCTGATGTAAAGAAAATTGCCCTTGTTTGTACATGTGCAATATGCAAAGTTCAGGTAAAAGTCTTTTCAAGGGTGGTGGCTGCTGCAACTGCGGTAGATTCACATAGAATCCCTATACAAACCCAACGGGAAAGGGCGGTGAAGAAGCCAGCGGTGAACTTCACGCCATGAGGGCGTTCACTCATTTCTGCCCTCAGCTAGTGCTACGAGATAGAGCTGAGTTGTTGTCAAACAGCAGCACTGAAAACTATACTTTTATGATAAATCGCGCAACAGAAACCAACCAGGGACGGATTGTAGATGAAGCTTTTTTTCACTTAAATTGGAATACAGGGAAAATTATGTTAAAAAAGGCTGACATAAGAAATGGCCTCAAGAGGTCTTTACTTGGCTTTAAAAAAAAGCCATATTAATATTGTCCTAGAAACACTGCTGGTTGTCTGCCCTTACGTCCAGCACAGGCCCTGGTGTGCAACTGCATACTGCCCAGCATCAGTGTTTTCTGTGTGGGTAGATTTACAAGGAAGTCACGCCGAATAAGATCTACATTTGGATGAACCAAAGTGGACTTTTTTTGAAGAAGAAGAAGAGTGACCACTGTCGGTATTAATGACATTCAGGTCGGATGGATGCAACCTGGCTGTTCACACACAGGTTGCATTTGAAAAGATCAGATTCGTATCGGATTCAGGACCGCATAGACAAGCAGACTGGGTCACATTGGAAAATACTGGATCTGTGTTGTTCAGACTGTCATGAAAAGATCAGATCCAGCTCGCATATGGGAAAAAAGATCGGATTTGAATCCCTTCATGCTGCGGTGTGAACATAGCCATAGTGTTATTATAATTACACTGCACATTTTACATTTATTATCAACTTGATGGCACAATACAGCAAATGAGACACCCTGAAGCTTTGGCTTATGAGCAAACCAATTTAATGGAACGCTTCAGTGCTTTATGAAGCTTCATTTTACCATCGCTATTTAAAAGGGGTCAATAAAGGCAAGAATACTTAGGGACAAAGGCTGGACCAGTGTTGAAACAGACAAACACCCATGGATGAAAATTAATAGACTGGCTAAATACACACAGGAGGAGGGGATGATTGTGAACAGGTGTGTTCAATCAGGCTGACAGGGAAGTGCATGCAGCAGAGGTTGGCCAATTAAAACTGCCATATTTCACTATGTGGTCCAAACCGTGATGTAACATTTCTGTATTCATGTTCATTTTATTGTTCTTGTATTTAACAACAACACAATAATAATGATATTTATTAGTATGTTGATGCATTTACATGTTTATTAAGAAAGAATGGTAAAAAAAGAAACTTCAGAGCAGCTAAACAGCAGTAAGTAGGTAGGAAAGGTAAGAATCATAACCTGTAAGCAATACTGGAAAGTAATATTGATCGAGATTACTTCTTTCAGATCAGAACTGACACTATGTTCTGCTGTAAAAGTCAAGTTACAAACCCTGCTCCTCTAATGGCATCCTGCTGTTTTCTGACCAAGCATCAACGAAGGAAAACTAAACCCAATTGTTCACACTCCCTCTGACAACAGATACATATTGTATCTGCATGGTGCACATTGTGTTCTTCTACACTTCTTCTAAGACAGAAAAAAAAATCACAAGACCTTTTTTCCTTTTTTTGCTTCTCTTTCTACCTGACTCATGACAATTAAACTGACAACTATTGGCTCAGAAAGTGAAGCCTAAAGAGATTTCCCAGCAAAAGCATAATCAGCAAAAATCACTGCCATTCAATTTCAGTAAGATATTCATTATGGTTTAAATGAGCGTTCTGTTCCAACTGGGCTCTTTGAATGTGCATAAAAAAAGCAATTTTAGGTCAAAGAATTTATATCCATCTGATAATGTGAGGAAAAAGCTATTCAAAGAACTCTGATTATCATAAACAACCATGATGGTTCAGGGTATTTCTTTATTGCTTCAGACTATACGTCAGTGTTGGTCCTAAAGCTGACGCCTACAGGCAAGCACTAACTTGGCAGCAGTGAAATCATCAACACCAGACATTGTTAAAACAACCCTGAAAAAAAACAGGCATTCTGAGCAACATTTTTCCAGTCTGTCATAGAAATGTAGTGCTTGAAAAAGGAATAGAAATCTTAGAAAAAGATACTGTACTATTAATCTCTACAAAAGATAAATGCACTTTTAATACTGAAATGCTTTTGGACCACTTTGACAAAATAACCCAAAGAATGAGCAAAAAAAAAAAGAAAAAAGACAGCAAATGTCACAGTGTATTCTCACTATGAGTTCTTATGAAATCATACGAAAAGTTATGCACCGTAATTTCGTACGTTTTGTACGTTTTTTTCGTCGTATGCGCATGCGCATCTGATGCACCATTCACGAATATGGAATATAAATTACAATTAGCCCTAACCCTGACCCTAACCCTAAGATATAAAACAGCAAGCAACATAGTTAGAGACATGAATAAGTGAAGATTGCACTGTTTTTCCCATTTTTACGTCCGTCCGCAGATCTGCTTTTTTTTTCTGTCTGCCAGCGCATGCGCACTGATGTGATTTTTTTGAGGAAAAACGTCCAAAACGTACGAAATAGTGTGCATAACTTTTCGTACGATTTCATACGAACTGATAATGAGAATATGTTGAATCTCACTGGTATCAATTAAAGTCATGATTTGTGACTCAATAGTACAATCCTAGTTGTGATAGCATGATGGTCTGGGGCTGTTTTCAGTTGCTTCAGAACCTTGACAATTCGTCAGAATTGATAGAATCAGGTTTTGATTAAAAACCTAGTAGACTTGAGTCCTACTTGAGTCTACATAAAAATTACTCATTGGATTAACTTAATTTAATTGATGAAAGTTTTTCCAACCAATACATTTTTGCTAGCTGAACCAAATCAACATATATCTGTATGGTGTCTGTGATGGTCGCATGTGCAACCACACAAGAAATGGTCTTTTAATTCATTCATTAAATAAATCTTATATTTTACTGTACTGTATTTCATTTTTTTTTTTTTTTACTTTGGCAATGGTTAACTATTTGGGTGCACACATTAAGTTGATTCATTTTGTCATTTCTTGCTTGTTTGGTTTTCTGTACATTAATATATTTTTCATTAGAGTTGCCAGTTCCTGGGAGGCTGTCATGAGTGAAGCCAATAAAGGAAAGGAGGCCCCAGCTGCAAAGGATCTCCTCATTGACATGGAGGCCTAGTTGGACTAGGCCTAGTTTGGTTTTGTATTCTATAATCATATTTGGGAAATTTTATATTCAAGTCCTCTTCCTCATAGGTTGCTGATTTAGTATGGTGCTGATTAGGTTCGTCTTTTGTTGCAGTTTTGTTTAGGCAAATGCATTTTATGGTTCCCTCTTGTTTCAAAATGGTCTGATCAACCAGTGTTTATATATGTTTCCCTTGTGTGTCAGTAGGTCTTTTCCTGTATCAGGTTTGGATTATGCTGATTTTTGTCATTTGTTTTCCATGATGGGCCCAGTCTTGTTAGAATTTTGAACTTTATTTTTTGCCAAATAAATTTGTTACCCTTTTGTCATCAATGACTTCCCTGTGCTTCTCTGATTTTTTGGCCCTTCCCCTCACAGTGTCATTTCATTGAGTCTGTTTAACACAATTTTCTAAAATAGTTTTAAAATGAGATGATTACATACACCAAATGTGAATATGTTTGGT